AGTGTAAAGTGGAAAGGGAGCGGAGTGAAAGAGTGGAGAGTTAAATGCAAATGCATCAGGACAGATGAACTCCAAATGACAGATGAGACTGAGTCTGAGGACACACACACGCACACACTCATTTCCAGTCATGCTTTTGCTCCGTTTTGACAGCAACAGTGCTTTCACTGCTTTAGAGTGAATTAAAAATTGATGCATTTTGTTGAAATTGAGATGATGAGGCTTCGGAGAGTACGACTCGCTCGCTACAGATCTCTCGTCTTTTCGGTTCCTGACGTTTCGTGACCCCGTACTTTTGGTTCGCTCTTATCGTGTTACAAAAGCCCACCAGAATCTTGCAGAATTCTCTGCGGCTGTTGAGATGCAAAGGAAGGGTAAAGTAACGTCTCTTCCTGTAGAGGTATAAGTATATTCCTCCGCCTATCTGTCCAAACTGAAGGAGAAATGTAGAGTGTCAAGGACTCCTTTTACGCTGATTGACAGGTACTATCTGTGTGAGATACCTATATAATGGTGGTCCTCAGAATTTTTTCTGACCTTCTTATTTATCTAGCTGTATTAATGTCAGCCCATTAACGCTGGAGCTGAGGAGTGCTCGGCAAAGCCACCATTAAATGGCTGTGGCAGGATCCTCCTTATCTTCTGCAACCTGAAAGGAGGAATTTGACGCTATCAGTTAATGGAAATGACATTTCCAAATTTCATTTTGAGATAATCCACTTCTCGTCCACTAAAACATCAAAATTACTGTTAACAATATGTGAAGGCTGTATTAAAACTTAGTTACCCTCGCAAATCGGGCCCATTATAATCCCTATTGAGAGACAGGTATAGCCACCTTGCCGTTTTAATAGGATTTTCTGTGCGTTACTCTGGTGATTACTGGGCTATGCATGTCATTTATCTGCAAAAATAGAAAAGTGTGTATCAAAATAAGGAAAATGGAGTCTTGAGTATAGCATTTATTGAAAGCCATAGTAGGTGATCTTATACCCAGTAATCTGTACCAAAGTGAAACTGCTAATTCTAATTCTAGCTCTTAGGATCCTGGGCTATTTCCAGAATGTGCATTTTACGCATCTTGTACAGAGAAAACAGGCATGCTCTTTTTACTCTACCTCCTTGGCGGTTTTACTTATACTTCTCGCTTCTCCTTCTCTCTCTCAGCTCAGTGGCAGCTTAATAAAAAATGTTAATGTTTATCATATGCCATAAAGAGGCTTGATTATTGATTGTTCTGATTAATGTGTAAAGTGCATCTCTATTTATGGCAAAGATGGAGAGGGAGGAAGAAAAATGAGAGGAAAGCAGTGAAGAGAAATGATTGCCCCTCTTTGCAAACTCCAGAGCATCATCTGCATTTTCAAGTCTAAGTTGGAGACTAATGCGCGCGTTTAGATTTGAAATTTGGTGTACTTTCTCATTTCTTGTGTTAATATGGGTGTAGTATGCGTGCTTTGTGAGTATCTCAGCAGTAGTAACACTGTGAAAGAAAAGGCTTGGAAAACATTTCTGTAATGTCCTGCAGATTACGTAATTTGTGAAATACAGCAGGGCGTCACGGCTTTGTTCTGTGCCATTACGTCCAGACCAGCAGGGATTGCTGAATTTGATGAATTGAACGGGCAGAAAAGTTGATAGATTTGTAGCAGGAGCCATTAGTAAAACGTCTGACATCAGAGGAATGCTTAATTGTGCAAGTTTTACATTTAATATAATGCATTACTAAATTAATTAGTCTTGAAAATGAAGCAGTGGTTTGTTTATGCACACCGTTCAAGAACTGCTGGTCTGAGAGCAGCTTATGCTCTTATGGATGTTCAAAAGTAGGTGCTGATATGTACTAAACATTCCTCAAGCCCCCAAAAATGCAGATGGTAGAAGTGCATGTATCTTCTTGCTGCTGCAGTGTATAATAGTACAGGGATCTCTCTAATTGAGCGCCCTCAGTCCAGCAGCACTCAGATGGAGCTCTGAGGGTTAGTCATGCCACCATGTGTTGAGCTACATCAGCTGGCCTACGCGAGGTCATTGATTGATTTTCCTCTCCGATATCTGGCTCAGTGGGACACTAATGTCATCTGATCACTGACCCAATAATCCAACCACTGGAGAAAAAAACAGCCTGATTTATGCTGCCTCCATGGAGAAATTTTTCTTGGATAATGCGATGGCGAATCCAAAAGATAAGGGGTAGCGTGTGATCGAGTCAGGCCGGTTCATGAGTTCATGCTTTCTCAGATGCCTGTGCTTTCATGCGTCACTCTGATTTGAGTGTGCATCTTTAATTTAGTCTCACATGCGCATGTTTTGAGTAATTTACAGTTTAGCGTGCATCTTTTTTATACACTTGTCATATTCTCTGACAGTCAATATCACGGCTCTTTCTTTTAGTTCATTGAAAGCTTGGGGGTTAATTCAGAGGTCAAGCAAGACTTGCAAGCTGTCAATCTTGTATTGTAAACTCCCCAACCTCCCATCTGTGCCCCCCACTCCTGTGTCCCCAGCCTATTATTCCAGGCCTCATTGCCCTGAATGGCCTGCCTCTTCCTTTATCCTCTGGTGGCCCACACTCGCCTGAGAGGGAGACAACGAGGAGGTTTCAGTCAAAAGAATGCCGCATTCTTTCACATCTGTGCCTTGTTTCCCCATTGTGTCATTAACATTTCAAACTGTCCTTTCAACTTTGATTTTAATGCCTCCTTTCTTTTCCCAGCACCCTTCTTTTGTACAGGAGCAACAAATGTTCTTTGCAATTCCCTTCCGTTGTTTAACGTATTTGATGATGAACCTGTCTGCCTGCTTCTTCTTTTGGTTTAAAGAGCAGCTGCATGGAAGTGCACAGCTGGTTTTCAGCCTCTGGGTCCATGCCCCTCTGGCTTTCCATTTTTCAAAGTACTTAAACATCTGCTTGCATTGGTTTTATATGTAGTCAACACAACACGGCACAAGCTGTCATATCAACACACATAAAATCTCCCTACATGTAAGAGAACCCTCTCGTATGAGGATATAGCACTAACATCAGACTTCAAAGGCCTGGTCCTTTGTACACGAACGTTAGCTGTTGTAATTTAGCGTGATTCAACAAAACGTACACAACGGAAACAGCAAGGCTCCCTGCTGCGCTCTGGCTGGGGGTTCGATCGGCGCCGTTTCGTTTGAAGCACTTAACAGGTGTTGATCGGCGGGTCTTCGCCGCAGCTTAGGAAGATAAGGTCTCCAGCAGAGAAGAGAGACCTTGGTGTGTTTAATGAGGAGAGTGGGAGTCAGGCAGACCGCCTTAGTCTGCTCCTTCGGTGCCTCAGACTGATCAGCATGTTAACCGCTCACAGCATGACACAAAGATATGAAGGTAGCGAGCTGTTGTCGTTGATTTAGCCGAACACCCATCTGCCCGTGTAGGGGTTCAGCCCTCGCGTTTAATATATTTATTTCCCTTGACGAATTACCATGCTAGCAAGAAGAATCTGAGGAGGAGTTTATTAACCCCTTAAACTTTAGGTTTATTATTCTGTTATTAATCCTACGGCTTATTATCCTGTAGGGCAGCACAATTTATTCTTTGTTAATTGTTACTATGATATTGGTTTTTTGCAATACTGGTATCACAGAAGGCCTCACTATGCAAATGAGATTTTAACAAATCGCGAATGCCTTCCTGTGTTCTTTCAGCATTCTGACCAAACCTCAGATGATCCCGATGAGTTACTATGGATGTTTGGATGAATCAGGATGTGGTCTAACAAGCGTAGATCATTTTTATCAAAATAACACAGGCTGAGGATTAACTTGTGTCTTGCATCAAGAGTTCACAGATATATCTGGTACATCAGAAGGAATTTCAAACATAATTTGAAATTTCATTCATATTTTGCTGTAGCTACTATGAATTAGCTCCTCTGTAATTATGAGAGTGGGGAATGGAACCATGGACCTGCTGAAAGGTCAGTACAGTATAAGGGGTTTAAAAAGGGAAAAGAAAAGTTTCCTGCCATCGAAGCCTTGAGAACATCTTGAACATAAACGCAGAGTTTCAAGGCACCCTCGCCTCTCTTCACTTCACTACAGTCAAGGTCTGGGGTTTTTTGTGCTTTTCATGATGCATTCAAGCAGCTTAAGCACTAATGACATGGTGCACTGTATCTGCGCATAACTTCCCGAATGCTCTGTGAGTTTAGGAATTTTACATCATTTTTTGCCATTTAAAAGCGACTTTACCTTGATTAATAGGCCATAGCTACTAAGCTCATTTTCTTCCAATATTTCTCGAGAATCTGAACACAGCCTGCTCACATGCACAACCAAAAACTGACCAAAAAGAAAGGTAGGAGTGTGCCTTTTTTTTCTCTCTCTCAGGCTTGTGGAAACACTTTGTATTTGAATCATATATGCAGATAAGGGTGGGCTTGCTTTAGTGTGTCTTAAACAGAAAGCATGGGAGGGGTGTGTACAACGTTTTAATGGGCTCCTAAGTGACTTGTTACTGGAGTGACTGCGCTCCCCTGTGAGGGGTGTGAGAACGGTTTATGAGCGGGGAGCACCGGGGCAGACGGGAGGTGTAAACATGCGGACTGAGAAAAACAGTTAAGAAGCGAGAGATACATGCCTGAGTGGCTTCAGTCAGTGGCCTTGCCGTTTAGCGGCTGCTTCGCTTGATGAATGTAGGGCCGTCTTTTTGGTGAATGCCAGGAGGACGGCACACAGGCACTCCCAAGAGGTATTGATGGACGGGGCAAGAAGAAGAATGGCTAGAGTTTGAAGTTAAAGGCTTATTTGCTTCTTTTTTGCACATTTGCAACATGTTAAATTTGTCATCTGGATGTGGGGGAAGCTCTTAGTTTCCATTACAGGGATTTCCACCCTCAGGATTACACTCTGGTTTGTTGTAGGTTTTGTGGATTTGTAGTTTTTTCTTTCTTATAAGAGTTTTTGATTTTCTCTGAAGGCTTTTGAGGTGTTACTCCAGCATTGACGATCCACTGTGGCTGCTTTTTCAGGTGCGGATCCTAATGATGAGTGTCTTTGAGATCCGTTCTCATGGACTGTTGTGACTGCAGTGACTTCCGGCCAAACATGAGGAGAGTGTCCAAGCCAAGCACAATGGCATGCTCAGCGTGGAGTCTCTCAACCCTCTGCTGCCTGATGTTTGCTTTGGCTGCTATACAATGCACTGAAGGTAAGAACTGGCTCGATATTCTATCCCTTATTAGGACATAGGTAAACATGTGAAAGAATTTCATGTTATTGTCAGTGTGACCACTATTTCGTCAAGGATTTTACTGCACTAGAGTGTATGAAGATACTGGCACTTGCGTACATTATGCCCTTTATGACTCTTTTAACCAAACTTTCCAAAAGTTCAGAAATCCACCTGCTCTGGAATGTACCTTCATTAACATTGAACATGCATTGCTTTTGCTCTCAATTAAATTAAAAGTAAGATCGGATATCTGACTCATCTATTTGTTTGAGTTATCTCATGTTCCTATATTTGCTCAGATGTCCTCTTCTAACTATAGGGCTAAGCCCAACAACTGTTCATTATAAACAATATCCCCAAGTAAACATGCTTCATTACACTCCGCCCCGGCCGTAATATCTTTTTAATGCATTTTATAATTGAATTAAATGGGTTACTGCCATAGCCATAAATGGCTGGAAGTTTTGTGCTTCTGCAGAAGCTTCGAAAGATTAATTGCTTCAGGGTTATCCCTCTCTGGTATATCCCTCGAAACTTTGCATCTCATCTTTCTTATTTAATTTTGCGGAGCTGACTGCTGTCTGTATACTTGGACGTAATTCATTTGTATTCATGGCTTTCTTATTACCTTGTCTCTTTCCAAAGAAACCGCCTGAAAGACTTTTTTACACACACACACACATATATATACTTTATATATATATATATATATATATATATATATATATATATATATATATATATATATATATATATATATATATATATATATAAATAAAGTGTGTGTGTGTGTGTGTGTGTGTGTGTTTTGCAGCAAATTCTTTTATAGATAGTTGAAAGTTTATAACTTCAGCATAAATCTTGGTTAGTGAAGCTACATATCTGTTTTAAGGAACTGTGGAAAATCAGCAAGAATTCTCTATATAAATCTGTTTTTATAGCATTATATATTTAAAGTAGTTGTACAGACTACAGTGCAGGGCTTTTATCATGAATCAAGAACAAAAGCGGTAAGTTGGGATCACAGCTTTACAGCAGCACATTACTTCCTAAGTGTTTTAAGATGACAGGCTTACTGTTTCATTAAAAAGCTTGACAAGGAATGATGACCTCAATCATTTGAATATAAATTCAAGTTCATAAGTTATCCTTACCCCACCTATAGAAGTGTCACCTTAGCAAAATGAAGTCTCAAATTGCAACCTAGTATTTCTCAATAGAGCTACTGGAGCCTTAGAAAGATCCTCTAAATAGGAGCCCTGATTTTGACAGGTTCTTTTCCTCCATCCTTGAAGATTCAGATTGAAATGAGGTGTCTGTCTTGCTGCCTCCTGAAAGAAGGTCCTGCTGAATATGTGGTGATTAACGGCAGAACATGTCAGAGAGAGAGAGAGTACAGTAGCAAATCCCGACCCTCTCTCCCCATCTCTCTCTCTCTCACTCTCTCTTTCACTCTCTGTCTGTGCACCGGATTCTCCTATACATGAAAGTATGCACAGACAGCATTAGAGAGGATCTTCTGGGCTTGGTGTCAGTGGTTGGATTGACAGGGTCGTGCCTACATCTCCTCAGGTGTCAGGCAAATATTTTATGAAAAGATGAGGCGAGGGGAAAACATGCTTCCAAATACACTGTTGCCGCGTCACGTGCTTTTGTCTTTCCCGTGGGTTTTGTATGTAACACGGGAATATTCCTGCTGGAGATGCAAAACAAGATAAAAAAAATTTGGCTCTGGTTATTTTTTTTTCCTGTACCCATCACTACTTCTGAATGCATATTTAGTAGAGTCATTACAGATTGCGCCGCATTGCTCGAGGGAGTCAAGTTGCAATTTGGGCCCTACTGTGAAAACAAATCGTTCTGTGAAGTTAAACGTGTGTGGGCAAGCCTACAACTTAAAAGCCTTGTCTGCTACTGACATACCGTAAAATCTCATCTGTGGAGTAATGCTCGTTAATGAAATGCTTCAACTCATAAAAACAGCTCAGTGTTCCTAGTGTTTCTGGGAAATCTTCTCTCTAAGACCAATCAACATGAATGTAAACCCGGTGACTTAAAATCCTTAATGAAGTTAAGTGAATAGTCTGGAGTCCTGTTCCATCTGCTTTTCAGACAGACTTAGGAACACGCCTTTATTAAACACAGACTCAGAGCGCAGTCCTTTTGTTCTGTCGTTCACAGTAAACAGCCTCCGTGGGCTTTTTTTTTCGCTATTTCTTTGGGTTTTCTTTTTGTTTTCCACCCTGATGTCACACAGGGATTTTGTATCGGGCTAAGGGATCTGACTTCCCATAGTGCTAAGCTGCCGCTGGGTCAATACGCCATTGGTCCTGAATGCAGCTCAGGTCTTTCATCAACAGTCACTCCTCCTTGATAAGGCTGATAAGAGGACAATGGAATGGAGAGCAGACCGCTAGCCAAGGTGCGGCCGCGGCCACCGGCCCCCACCCAGCAGAGTGCTTCAAATCCTCATTAGGATTTGCCGTTTAGTGTGGGGGGGATTTAATGGATTAAGGTCCATCACAGCTGGCTCTTGGTTTGTGTTTGCCATGCAAAATCAAGCAGGACCCATTGCTGCTACTTATAACTTGGGATGTCTGTCTGAGGCCGCTTCCCTCATGAGACTATGATGATACTCAATATCGATTTGGTCCGTATTAATGATTTGTCTATTTTCAGAACGTGCTGAGTAGGGATTTGAAGTCGGAGCAAGGAAGCTCTGGCCAAACAGGTTTATGGATATAGAAACAAATGGGTATCAGTGGAAACTGGCTGAAACTACTGTAATCTAGCCAAGACTAATTTGCATTTTATGGTTTCTTGGCAGCTTGTCCAGCAGTGGTTGATGCTATGTATGGGGGTGGATTACACATAGCATTAACAGTTTTTAAACCGGAAGATTTTAGATGCACTGTTGTGGTCATTTGTATTCAATGTGACTTGGAGCGTTTCAGGTTAAGTGACAGTGTGAGGGCTCCAAAAATGAGTCTGTGTCAATTCAGGCTCATTTAATGAAAACCTCTAATTGGATAAAGGCTTTAATGACACACAACAGGGTTAGAATGAGGACACTCATTTCCCGGATGAGAACTGAGTTTACTGTTTTAGTCATCTACCCATATGCCTCCTATCTACCCTGGCCTCTTTTCTTTCTTTTTTTTTTCCTTTCCCCACGTCTGTCTTTTATGCTTTGTCTTGTCTTGTTCCCGCTTGGGCTGGTTCGTGGCCATCTAACAAGCATATCCCAAGCGATCAGCACAACAGTGCAGGATAGCAGCAGACCACACCGTCAGAAAGTCTATGGAGAACTAGTAGATTTGTCATATCTGCCTCCCGTTTCGCCATAGACGACATCCCAACAGAAGTGAGCCATGAAACCTTTATTGTTTTGTTTTGCTTTTTGCATACCATGCAGGCTGACTGTAATGTGGCCATAAAAGGCCTGGTTGCCAGAATGTGTCTTCTGTGAGCAAATTTCATCTAAAAGATGTATTTTCCATATGATAAGAATCTTCATTCCTCTTTTGTTTTGACCTCCTGTTTTTTGTTTTCTGTCTTGGAGAGATAGACCCAGCTATACTGCAGGTGGCGGGTAATTTAAGATCTGATCGTTTCTCCTTGTTTAGGCCTTTTAGAAGAACTTTCCTTTGTGTAGCACTGAGAGCCATGGTTGCGCGCCGTTTCTAAGCAGAATGCCAGAAATAGTATGAATGTGTTGGCTTTTGGTCTGTGGCGGGGGGTGGTGAGCACTCTGAGAAAAAGAGACCATGTATTAGAGGGTCAGAGGGTAACCAGAAGCAGTTTCCTGTTTGCCGCTTTAATATTGTGGAATTTTAAGGTGATTAGGGCATGCAGTTTTAGGGTCACGTCGGCCTCAGCATCATTTGCATTGGATTCTGGGAAGCCCATGGATTTCTTCTCTCTTTGAAGTAGCCAGAAACTGACTTTTTGATAATTACTCAGTTAAATTAGTGACAAAAGTTTCTTTGACTCAACTGTGATCAGGAAACAACAGATTTGGCCAAGGACCTTCAGCATCCAAAACTAATTGGCAATTCAAAAAAAAAAAAGGAAAAAATGGTGAAATGTCATGTTATACAACTCGGCAAGAGTTCACATGGTTTGGCAGTTTGTCATTTTTTGCCGTCAGTCTTTGATTGTTTTGGAGTTATTTGCTGCCAGCAAGCAGACCGAGCAAGATTTTAAGAGCAACAATGTGTAAAACTTTTTTCTTTTGCAATACACACACACAAACCTCTGATTCTAAGACATACCATCCAGTGTTTACTCTAGATTCAAGCTGGGTGGTCGAGCTTTCAAGGCTACAGTAAAAAAGTATACCTGTGAATATACCACTTTTTGCATTCTCTATACATTTATTATCAAGAGGTGCTGTTGTGAATGACTAGGAGTTCATTTATAGTCAGTTAATTTACTTCAGAATAATTTATGTGTGACTGAATGCTTTATAGTTCATAGCAGGTCACATACTTCAGTATCACATATTTCTATACAATAGTGCTAATAGTGCATTAAATTCTAAATACTGTGTGGAAGTTTGAGCGCGCCTGGTGAAATGACTTGTTTTGTTGATTTTCAGCAGTAAAAAATAAAAAAAAGTGAACTCCTCCTCTGTAGAGAACACACATCTGTACATGTTAATGCACAATTATTGTTTATTTGCTGAAATTAACATATTGAAACAAAAAACACAAAATGTGGCATTTTATATTTTATGTTTTTTGGAATGTGTTAAGAATGCGTGAGAGCATGTTAACTTATTTTCAATAGGAAATTCACAAAACGTGATTAGACTGGGATTGTCGTACTTATACATGAAACCTTTTCATACTGCTATATCAGTGATCAAATCTGTGTTGAACTTGATCAAGTGAAGACAATACTGTTATAAATTCTGTTATAAAGAGTTTTAACTGGTAATACACACTGCACATGCAGTACATTACAAAGTAGAG